TAGTCCTAAAACAGGCTGCTAATGAAGTGAGTGTCTCCAAAGAAGTGGTGAGCTGCTGATGCTGTGGCGGCCCACCCACCCACTACAGGATGGAGAAAATCCCTCTGAGCCCCCCGGTGAGGGGTTTGACTTACAAATAAAAACAACATACTATGACAGCGTAATAGACTCACTATGTGTGTATTGTGTCTGCCAGTGTTCTGGGGCTATTTTCCCTCTTTTCCCAAAATGTCCTACACACGTCGACTGGGAAGAACAACAGCATGAACGCAGACGTTTGATAGAGCCTGTGATCCGGTACATATGGACAGATCCTTATCAGTTCTATTTCCCACACGAAAGCCATTATTTTGGCCTTAATGCTGGTGGAGTCCTGGAGAACAAAAAGAACTACGTGCTTTGACCTTTACTCACAAAGTTCATCACTCATGACAGATTTAGAAGTAATGCAATACTGAGTCTTCATCAAATTATTACAATTTCATTGTGAAACATTGCAAACATTCTCAGACACTAACGAGAGGTTTTGATGCATTTTAGCACATTTTAGCACATTTTAGCACGTCCTTACCTGCGATCATTCTAATCAGAGGTTAATGTTGGATTTGGCAGCTGAATGATGAGGTTTGTCTTTAAATAACTGATTTGTTTCTGTTTGTTTCTTTGTGAACAGGCTACAATCTGTGCTGCTGCTGCTCCACGACTCCTTCTTCTTTGGGAATATAACAAACTGTATTCTACAGTATACCAGTAAATGCTACATGAGCTGTCATGCTATGATTGATGCTTTCCACCTGCTAGAATAACAGCAACAGCTCCCACCTGCCTATTCACAACATGTCTGCCTCCACCTGCTGATGCTCTGCAACTCTCCTGCTCAGTTCTTCCTTCTTGCTCTCCTCGCCCACCATAACAAGTAAGACAGAGTCAGACACTTACACAACTCACCACCACAACACTTGCCTGTTGGATCGAGCTAAGTGCTGCTCTCTTCTGTGATCCAATTCTCATTGAGGCTCTCCTTTATTCCCAGTTCCCTGCTTGATAACCGTTTCTCCTTCTCCGATGAATCCTACTGCAAACTTAGCTCTGAGTCTGCTCTTTGAGTCCTGCCTGATTCGATCCCTGGCTGTTTATACTACATAACAGTAACAACTAAATATAAGCATACGTGCATGAGTGTTGGTAGGACTCAAACATGTCATAACTCACTGGATTTCCACTTTTGTGATGTTGAACGAGTTTTCACTTCAGCTCATTTCTGGACTTCTCTTCCATCCTGCGTCTCATTAAACACAACCTTGATGGTTCTTGATCTTGCATCCAACTATCTTTTCTATGGAGGTCCCTGATTCTTAATCTATAACCAAGTGGGAATAGTAAGTGGAGCTGTGTTAATGTTGGTCCCAGTAGTCCCAATCCCCATCTTCTGCTCGGTGAATGTATCTTCTGACAGGGACAGCTACGCATTTCTGGAGTTTGATTGCAGCCTCTGATCTCCAGCACTAATAGTAGCCTCCATCTGTTGATATTAGAGCAGCTAAATGGTTCAGTTCAATTCAATTTTATTCATATAGCGCCAAATCACAACAACAATTACCTCAAAGTGCTTTATATTGTAATGTAAAAATAGTAGAATAATGCAAAGAAATCAGAACAACCCGTAAAAATCAGATGACCCCCTATGAGCAAGCACTTTGGTGACAGTGGGAAGGAAAAACTCCCTTTTAACAGGAAGAAACCTCCA